CCTCACGAGGCCGACTGGACCCCCCAAACATCAGACCTGTCTCAGAGCAATCGCGCCAAAGTGCACGCGGGACCAACAGGGCCAACATTAGACGCAGTCTTACGACTGACCCGCACTGACCTCTGCGCGGCCACTGCCCGGAAACCTTCTCGGACTGAGTAACGGGCGAGCGTTCGGCCACCCGGATGCATGTCCGCGACTATGACCCCCCCCCCCTCCCTCCGAGCTCCCCGAGCGGGCCCTCCGGAGGCATGCCCTGGCGCCTGACCCTCGGCCCTGGCCCCCGGCCAAGCGGCCCCCCGCCGCGTGTCGGGGCCCTTTTGAGGGAAAGGCTCTCGGCGACGAACCCCGCCCTCTTTCGATCGATGAGGATCTGCGGCTCCGCCGAGCTGGCTGCTCAGTTGAGCGAGCTACCTACGACGGCACCCCCTGTGCTTCTCTGCGCGGCGCGTTGCCGGGATCCCACCAGGCCCAGGCCCCCGACATAGCCGATGCCTTCGCCCCCCTGGTGCACCTGCCCCACGTTGTCACAGGGCCCTACGCGCTCTACTCTGACTGCGACGGGGCGGTCACATATTTCGCCCGAGCCCGCCTCGAGACGACGGCGCCTCAGTGAGAAGTTACCGGCCTCTGGTGCCAGATATGGGGCCGGGCGGAGGACTTCGGGGGGGGCCCCGCTACGCCCGGTTAGAAGACGCGCTCGCCACTGCGCGGACGGCGAGGTCGAGCGCGGAACTGCCAGGCGCCGGGGGAATCACTACGCGGATCTCGGAGCCCGCGAGAACCAAACTCCACCCCTCGGTCTCCGCGGTCGAACTTCGCGCGGTGGTTTTCTACAAACTCGTGACCTTCGCGGGTCAGTCTTTGGCGCGGACCCCCCGGGCGGCGGGCCCGAAAATGCCCCCCCCCCCACCACCGCCACCCGACGCGGCCAGATTCGGCTCGCGTAGCAGCCCGGGCGGACCCCGACCTTGGCGGTTCTTGGCTTGCGCGACCAGATTAGGCTCGCGTAGCAGCCCGGGCGGACCCCGACCTTGGCGGTTTTTGGCTTGCGCGACCATGTCCAGGCTGCCCGAGGCAGCGAGTGTTTTCGTTGCTTCCGAAACGCTCGTGCCCACGATGCCTCCGCCCCCCCAGCATGCCCCCTGGCGGGGGCCACCGCGCCTGGGTCGTGTACCCCCGCGCTTTCTGCACCAGTTGCAGGGCCCACTCTCGGGGCAATGCTCTGCTTCTGGCCCAGCCTTGCTGAGGCGGCCTCCCTGTTAAGACCCGCCCCCGCCCTGATTGGCCCCGGGCGCGCGTGGGCCCGCGAACTTGGGCCCCTCTGCAGCCTTCAGCTCGAAGTAAGCTGAGGCCAACCTCTCCGGCGAGGTCACCCTCGACGCCAGGTTTGGCGGTCCACGGGTGGAGGCGACGCGCGGGGGGGGGCTTGCGCCCCGGCCATCCTTCGCGCTGGCGCTCATCGCCTTTGCGCGGATGCGCACGGGAAGACGCGAGGCCCGGTTCCTCGGCGCAGCCGCGAACCAGCCCCGCCCGGAAGCGCCCCCGCCTCGCGCGCGCCCGTCTCTGCCGTTTCAAAACCTCGCGAATTTCGGAGCTGGCGAGGCCCGCCCGCGAAACTCACGTAGGCTAGCCGCTGATAGATACCTCGCGCACATGTCTGGCGTCGCGGTCTCCTTCAACTCGGCAACGCGCCAGTTGCCCCCACTCCTCCCATCAAGGAATGACTCGCAGATGCCCCCATTCGCCGGGAATGCGCAATGTCGCGCGCTGCTATCTCATATGCGACAGCACCTCTTGCCCCTAGGAAAGATCGGCGCGCACGTTGCGCGCCGCGCTTCTCCTATGAGACCTCGTTGGGTCGACGACGCCGGCGGCATTCCTTGTTTTGACTCCCTCCGCAGAATGCTGTCGACCATGCGTCTGGCCTTCCTGCTACGAGAAGCCTGGTCTGCAAGTCTTCGGGTGACGGGTCTGTGTTTTTTGGAAGTTGTCGCTCTGTCAACGCGGTTTGTTCACTGCGCGGGGACCAGGCGCGCGGGCGCTGTTCTCGACCGGCCCTGGAGGACGCAGCACGTTGGAACTCTCGACGAAAGCCACGGATGCCACAATGTTGTATGTTTGGATGTGCAGATGTCTGTAGAGACCGCGCACCTTGCCCCTCGCACGCGCAACGTCGACCTGCCCCGACGGGAGCGCGCATCCTGGATCCGCCATCGGCCCCAAGTGCATCGTGGCAACGCGTATATGCCAGGGCCCATTGAAGGCCACCTCGCCCAGAAGATTCATCGGTGTCGCGATTCTGATCCAGCCCCTCACTTCTGCCAATGCCCCCATTGGATAAGCGCGGCGAGACGCGCCCAGCGAAATTACCCGCGCGTGCCATGCTTGAAACAGGCCGTTATCCTCGCTCGACCGAAAGTGCGATGAAAGACCCAACACATATGTGTTGACACTGGCGAGAGAAAGAAGTATGTCACCTGCCGTTTGTCTTGCATGTCCTTTCTCCCTACCTCGTTCGCCTCCATTGGCGCGTCGTCTCGTCGCCGTGAATCTGCATTGCGTGTACGTTGTTGTATCTGGTCTATTCGCACCTGCCTCGACGTGCTCCGTCGGCCAGAAAAGCCGAATCTGACCAAAATCTGCAGGCGATGGATATGGTTTGTGCTTTGGCACGGGCAGGTCATCCGAGTGTCCCGGGTTGGCTTCTACTGGTTATGTGGGAGGTCGCTGCACTGTGTTCACACGCGTGCACTGTGCGAACTGAGGAGGACCGGACGTCAAGCTTGTCTGAACTGCCTTCTATTGGTTAGCCCTGATGTGTGTGTGGCCATGGCCGCTCCGACGGATGAATCGCCGGGCTTGCGTTTCTTCTCCTGCCCTCGCTCTGCCCGGAAATCGGGAAGGCTTGGTTGCTGTGCTGATGCCCTTTAAGCGAGACGCCACTGCTTCTTTACTGACGTCCCTTGGGCTCTGATAAACCGTGCTCTTGATTGGGTAACCAATGGAAAAAGCAGCTGGCACTCCGAAGAAGCATGACCAGGTTCTTCGGTCTTGCCGTAGACCAACCCAGCAAGATGGCGAGCGTGCGCTTCCACTCACGTGTCGAGGCCATTCCAAAAAAAGTGCAAACCTTGACGAGGCTCATCCACACAGTTCACGTCGTAGACTGGCTGCTAACATTGCGTGGTTTGCAAATTCTGATCTTGCGCACGGTCTCCTTCACCTCGGTAACGTGCTTGTCGCTACCCATACAAGGAATGATCCGAGGACCGAAGATGCCCCCTATTGCCCTGAAGTGTGCAATGTCGTGTTGTGCACCATGCTTTTTCTCTGAGACTTCGTTGCGTCGATGACTCTCACGGCATTCATTGTTTTTGACTCCCGCAACGAAATACGTTTAACCATGCCTCTGGCCCTCCTGCTGAAGACGCCTGCTCTGCAAATCTGTTGGTGACGGGTCCGCGCTTTGGGGAGTCGACGCTCTGCCAAAGCGAGTTGTTCACCATCTGGAGACCCTGTACACGGCTGGTGTTCTCGCCCGGGCTCAGAGGAAGCAGCGTGTGAAAACTTTCGAGGGTGCCACACATATATAGGTTTGTATGTGCAGATGTCTGGAGAGACCGTGTCCCGTGCCCCTCACACGTGCAACGGCGACCTGCTCCAACAGGGGTGCGTGTCCTGGATTCGCCGACGGTTCCAAACGTCTCGTAACAACGTGCACAAGGTATGGCATATTGAAAGACCACCTTGCGCAAGCGACTCATCGGCGCCATTATTATGATACATGCACTCTTTCTGCCAAGGTCCCCGTTGAGTTGCGTTGTCTAGAGTTCCCCTGGCTTGTCTTGGATAGTGCAGTGAGGCGCGTCCAGCGGAAGCACCCGTTCGCGTCATATTTGAAGCAGGCTGTTATCCTTGCTCGACCGAAGATGGGATGAAAGACTCAACACATGCGTGTCGACACTGGTGAAGGAAAAGGGTATTTCCATTACACTGTTTCTTTGTTTGTCCTCTCACCCTTTCTCACTCCCCTCCTCACGTGCGTCGTCTCGTCGTTGTGTTTCTGTGTTGCGTAGTGTGTCGTTGCGTCTGGTCTATTCGCACTTGCCTCGACGTGCTACCTCGGCCAGAGAACCTGACTGAGATCTGCTGATGATGGAGGGGTACACGCCTGCGCATGTATGTCTCTGTTTGTGGTTCGGTACGGACAAGTTGTCCGAGTGTCCTGGGCTGGCTTCTACTGGTGATGTGCGGAGACAGTTGCAATATGCTCACATGTATGCGTTGTGTGAACTGAGGCGGACAAAATGTCCATCGTCATGATCCTGCATTGTATATACGAACGACAGTAAGTTGAGCACGTACGTGTACAACAATTCCGGCGGCGGCGCATCTTCATTGCATTATCATTATGCTGCGTGATCTTGTGACCATGCACAGCTGCACCCCAAGGAAGTTGCACCAATCGAGAACTCCTCCTCCTCCTCATCCACCTTCACCTCCTCGAACTCCTCCTCCTCCTCCTCCTCCTCATCCTCATCCTCATCCTCATCCTCATCCTCATCCTCCTCCTGCTCCTCGAACTCCTCCTCCTCCTCCTCCTCCTCCTCCTCCTCCTCCTCCTCCTCCTCCTCCACCTTCACCTCCTCCTCCTCCTCCTCCTCCTACTCCTCCTCCTCCTCCTCCTCCTCCTCCGCCTCCCTCCGCAGCAGCAGCACCACCGCCACCGAGCCCCTAATTGCCAACGCACTCCTCCTCTTCTTCATCCTTCTCCTCCTCCTACTCCTCCTCCTCCTCGACCTCCTCCTCCTCCTCCTCCTCCTCCTCCTCCTCCTTCTCCCTCCTCTTCCTCCTCTCCTCCTCCTCTCCCTCTCCTCCTCCTCCTCCTCCTCCTCCTCCTCCTCCTCCTCCTCCTCCTCCTCCTCCTCCTCCTCCTCCTCCTCCTCCTCCTCCACATCCTGCTACCGAGACCAGGTGATCGGTGCCGCGCCGGTGGCCTCCCTGGAGTTCCCGAAGAGGGCCTGCACGGCGATGGCGTCCTCGGGCCAGCGGCCAGGCAGGGTGCCCCCACCCCTTTGGGCGCAGGGTCCTCTGGGCCACCTGGGGTCAATCGGGGGCTCCCTAATGGTGTGGCGGCTTCACCGCGTGGCGAGACACCGCACACGTTTGGGATTTGTGTCGTTCTCCGAAGGCCTCTCTCGGGCGATCGGGGCCTCCAACATCCCAAGTCCGTGCGGTGACGGTCCGCAAAGTGAGCTCTCTTGGAACTTCGAGGTCACCGCGCGGTCCGTCACCACACGGTTTTGGGATCCCCGAGTCACGCCTCCGATGGAAGCATTATATACCTCATACCTTCTGGGGCCGGAGGAACCTCCTTCCCAGGGTGAGTGGGGAGGGGCCGAACTACTCAACTTTCCCGCTGCTGCCTCCGCCACGTCGTTCGGCCCCCCATCCCCCTCCGCTTCCTGGACACGTGGTTCCAGGGGCCCCCAGTGGGAGCACCTCCGACGGAGTCGTTTTAACCACCGAGAGAAGGAGGAGGAGCGGTCACCAGGGGGGGTGGCACGTCCTCCTGCATCAGCGGTGGCAACAACTGACAGGAATGGAAAGGGGGAGGAGGATGGGGGAGGAGGAGGAGGAGGAGGAGGAGGAGGAGGAGGAGGAAGACGAGGAGGAGGAGGAGGAGGAGGGTTGAGGAGGAGGAGGAGGGTCGAGGAGGATCGAGGAGGAGGAGCAGGAGGAGGAGGAGGAGAAAGATGAGAAGGAGGGGAGAAAGAGGAGGAGGAGCAGCAGCAGCAGCAGCAGGACAGAGACGAGGAAGACGAGGAAGGCGCCGAGGGAGGAGGGCAGGAGAAGGAAACTCCTCCTCCTCCTCCTCGTCCTCCTCCGCCACCCCTTCTTTTGCCTCCCTCTTCTCCTTCGCCACTCCTCCTTCACAATGATTAGACAACTACTCAACACGAATATCATTATTTCTCTCCTTTCTCCCCTAACAACGTGAGAGCTTGCTCCCGCTGCTAGCTCGTTTTTCCCAAAGCAGTGCTTGCACGAACGGGGTCTGATTCGTTGGGTTGCTGAATTTCCGACTGGTGAGCGCCCGTGGGCGCTTCGTGGGTGGGTCAGCCGGAGGCTCGCCCGGTGGGCGTTCGTGGGCAATTCGCTGGCGCCTCGTCGGCTGCGTTTGCGCCCCGCGCGCTGGCTGGGTCACCTGGGTCTTCGCCCTGTGGACGCCCTTCGGCGTCTCGCGGGCGCCCTTTGCGCTGACTGTGCTCTCTGGGCCGTTCGCCCAGTGGGTTCCCGCGGGACTTCGCAAGGTGGGCGCCAGTGGGAACTTCATGGGGGCCCCATGCGCTGGCCAGGTGCTCTGGAGTTTCGCAAGGTGGGCGCCCGTGGGTGCCTCGTGAGCGACCGGCGCGCGGATTGGCGGTTCTAGGTGTTCGTTCGGGTGGCGCCCGTGGACGCCACATTGATTGCACCACGTAGCTTGCACCACACACCAAACTGATTCCTGTTCATTGCACACTTCACATTGCGCCAAATAGCTTGCACCACATAGCTTGCACCACACTTATGGCACCGCACAGACTGCACCAAGTACATTGCACCACATAGGTTGCACCCCAGGGATTGCGCAACATTCGTTGCACCGCGTTCATTGCACTCTACATCGTGGACCACAGCGCTTGCACAACCTACAAGTAATGAAACCGGACGTGACCCCAACTCGGGGAAACCTTATCCTTGCATGGGCGCAGTCGTTGCTTGGCATTGCTTGGCATTGCTGGCATTGCTTTGCAATGTGTTGCCTTGCTTGGAGTTGCTTGGCATTGATTGGCACTGATTGGCATTGCGTGGCATTGCTTTGCATCGACTGGCGTTGCTTTCCACTGCTTGGCGTTGCTGATTGACATTGCTTGGCATTGCTTTGCAATGCCAGGGAACCCGAGGAAGAAGACCAGGGAACCCGAAGAATCGAAGCAAAGAACAAGACCTGAGAACGCGGGGGACCCAGAGAACAAGACCGGGAAAACCGAGGAACCCAAGCAAGGATCAAGACCGGGAAACCAACATATGCGGGGCAATCTAGGTGGCGACAGCAATGTCGTGCAATCTACGCGATGCAATTCATGTAGTGCAATCTATGCGGTGCAAAGCAATGCAATGCAAAGCAATGCAAAGCAATACAGAGCAATGCCAGGAAATGCAAATACATGCAAAACAATGCAATACGATTCAAAGCAATGCAAAATAAATGCAACACAATGAACAGCATTGCAAAACAATGCAAAGCAATGCAATGCAAAACAACAAAAAGCGAATGCAATTCAAAGAAATGCTAAGCAATGACATGTAACGCAAAGCAATGCAAACCAATGTCAAGAAATGCAAAGCGATACAACGCAACGCAATAAGTCGCCATGCAAGGCAACGCAATACAAACCAATGCAACTCACTGCAAAGCTATGCAAAGCAACGAAGGTAAGTGCAGCACAATTCGAGTGCAACGCAAAGCAATGCAATACGACGCAAAACAATGCAAGCCAATGCAAAGCAAAGAAATGCAAAGCAATGCAAATCAACGCAACGTTGTGCAAACCAATGCGATAGCAATGCGAAGCCATGCAAAGCAATGTACTACGATGCAACGCAGATCAACTCGAATCAATGTCAACGCTAAGCAATGCAATTCCATGAGAAGCACTGCAAAACAATGCAAACCAAAACAAAGCAATGCGAAACACTGCAAACCAATGCAATGCAAACAAACAAAGCTGTTGCAATGCAAAGCAGTGCAAAGCAATGAAATGTAATGGAAAGCAATGCAATGCAAAACAATGCCAAGAAATGCAACGCAATACAACGCAATGCAATACATCAAAATGCAACGCAACGCAACGCAATGCAAACCAATGCACCTCACTGCAAAGCGATGCAAAGCAACGCAAAGAAATGCCATGCACTGCGAGTGCAACACAAAGCAATGCGATACGATGCAAACCAATTCAAACAAATGCAAAGCAAAGAAATGCAAAGCAATGCACATCAAGGCAACGCAATGCCACGCGTTGCAAATTAATGCGATAGCAATGCGAAGCAATGCAAAACCATGCAAAACAAAGCAACGCGCATCAGTTCGAAGAAATGCAAATCAATGCAAAGATTTGCAAATATGCGAAGCAATGCAAATGAATGCAAAACAATGCAAAGCAATGCAACGCAACGCAGTGCGATACAACGCAACGCAATGCAAAGCAATGCAAAGCCATGCTGACCTATGCACAGTAATGCAAACGTATGTAAACTTACGCGGAGAAATGTCAACACACTTCAAAGCAATGAAACGCAAGGCAAAGCAATGCAATGCAAATCCATGCAAAGTAATGCATATCCATGCAAAGCAATGCAACACGGTGCAAAACACTGCAAAACAATGCAACGCAATGCAAAGCAACGCGATTGCAATGCAATGCGATGCGATTGCAACGCAACGCGATGCGATTGCAATGCCACGAGAGGAAGAGCAGCAGGGCGGCGGCGACGGGCAGCAACAGGGCCGCCAGGCCAGCAGACGGGCCTCTTATCGGGAAGGATGAAGCAGCGACAGACGGAAACGAGGCCCCCGGGCCCGCTCACGGGCCCAGTCCCATAGAAGAACCATAAGAACCTCTAGGTGCAACCACTGCTTCGGGAATTAGCCTGGCGAACGACCCATTCACTCACAGATGTGAGTACCGCAATTGCGGCTATCGTCTTCGGTGGAGCTCCTTGTGGGGCCACGGACCGTGTCAGGGGTGTACCAAAATGGATAGCGGGACGCACGGGAACGTCGCCACTGGAGTCTTCAATAAAACTCCCGATGGGGCCACGAACCGTGTGAGGGGTGTGCCAAAATGGGTGGCGGGGACGCATGGGAACGTCGCCACTGGAGCCTTCTTAGGGGAACGAACAATGACATAAACATAAAAAATCGAAGGTCCGCGCTCGGATCGGCGCTGGGGCCCCCTGGCGGCCCCTCCGGCGCCGCCCCTGGCGCGCTCCGCGCGCCAGGAAAGGAGGGTCCAGCGCGGATCCGAAAAATCTACGCGGACCTCCGAGTTATTATGTTTATGTCATTTCTCGTTCCTCTACTTAGGTGGAGCTCCCTATGGAGCCAAGAACCGTGTAAGGGGTGTGCCAAAATGGGTGACGGGGACGCATAAGAACGTCGCCACTGGGGCCTTTGGTGGAGCTCCCCATGGGACCGCGAAACGTGTGAACGGGGTGCCAAAATGGGTGGGAAGGACGCATGGGACCGTTGCCACTGGAGCTTTCGATAGAACTCCCTATGGGGCCACGAAGCGTGTGAGCGGTGTGCCAAAATGGATGGCGGGGACGCATGGGAACGTCGCCACTCAAGCCTCAAATGGAGCTCACGATGGGGTCACGAACCGTGTGAGGAGTGTGCCAAAATGGGTGGCAGGGACGCATGGGAATGTCGCCACTGGAGCCTTCGGTGGAGCTCCCTCTGGAGTCGCGAAATGTATGAACGGGATGCCAAAATGGGCGTGAAGTACGCATGGGAGCGTCGCCACTGGGGCCTTCGGTGGAGCTCCCTATGGGGCCACGAACCGTGAGGGGTGTGCCAAAGTGGGTGGCGGGGACGCATGGGAATGTCGCCACTGGAGCCTCAAATGGAGCTCCCGATGGGATCACGAACCGTGTGAGGAGTGTTCAAAAATGGATGGCGGAGACGCATGGGAACGTCACCACTGGAGCCTTAGGTGGAGCTCCCTACGAGGTCACAAACCGTGTGAGGGCTGTGCCAAAATGATGGCGGGGACGCGTGAGAACGTCGCCACTGCGGCCTTAGGTGGAGCTTCCTGTGGGGCCACGAAACGTGTGAGGGGTGTGCCAACTTGGGTGGCGGGGACGCATGGGAACATCGACACTAGAGCCTTAGGTGGAGCTCCCTATGGGGCCACGAACAGTGTGACGGGTGTGCCAAAATGGGTGGCGGGGACGCATGGGAACGTCGCCACTGGGGCCTCCGGTGGAGCTC